TTCTGCCACATTTACACTGAGTAGGGACTTGCTCCCCAAGAAGTCCCCATTAAATCAATACGACTAATCACAGAATAAGGTACAACATGACTAATGCTAGCAGAGTATGGCCAATACAAATACATTCTACCTACATAAAAAATAACGGCATGGGCAGTTCAGAGCAGTTAGTGTATACGGGCCAAATTCTGTTCTCAGTTTCACCAGTGTATGTCACAGTCATTCTGCTGAACTCAGAGTAGAATTGTAATTGAAAGCAGCATTTGGACCAGGAAAGGGTTTTAAAGTGAACAGAGTTGCTGGTGAAAGGTGCTGGGTTGACAGCCCTGGAGTGTGAAGTTCTTTGTTTATCCAAAGACACTGGTAGCGCATCGCCCTGCAGGGATCACCCCCTCCGGATGAAAGGGTAGTACAGCCTCCAGGTCTATTCAGTCCTTCACCTCTCTGATGGAACTGCCACCAAGAGGGTGCAATAATGGCCAACGGTGTTGTTAGCTCTGGGATGTGGGCCTTTGCCTGACAGGGAACAGACTCCGACTACCAGCTCTTTTTACTGTTCCAAGGGGTTAAAAGAACAAGCATGGATTTCCCCTGTGAACATAAGTTGTTTCTAAAATAGAGATTCTAAAATCCATCAGCTATAAAACTGTATCAAAAATGTCTATATTTAAACCTACAACACTAAGGGCCAAACCCTGCTCGGATTCATACCCATACAAGCCCACTGGAATCACCATTGCAACTATGAGGCACTGTGCAATGATGCAACCCAAAGGAAGTCAATAGCTTGCATGATAGCAGAATTTGGCTCTAAGAGTCTTACTGAGTTCAATGTGAAGTATGCTTAGATCAAGCCCCGACAATCAGGGTCTTGGAAAACAGCTTAGTTCAGTATTGCCATGTTGGTAAAATGATTGGTAATCATAAGTGAAATCAATGAAGGCTTTTTGTACGACTTGTGAGCTAAAAGGTGAAATACTTACCGCTGTGACATACTGGTTGGTGTGTTTTGATCTAGGATTCTTCTCAGGGAGAGCAGGAGATGTGCACTGGGAAGGAGGTTTAGAGCCAGGATTTGAAGCACCTTCATCCAAGAATGTCTCTGTAGAGAGCTGGGACAATCCAGGATGGACACAGCTACTAAAACCACTCACACTTTCACCCGAAGTGCACTGGGATGATTCTGAACTCTCTGTGACTATAAACAGGAAGAAAGTGTGCAAAGTTAGATCTGGCTAGGCCTGTAGTCTAACAGTCTTTACACATTTAAAGACAATATACCTTCCAGTGTCTAATATTTTCGGACTCTGCTGATCCAAACTGAACACTATACTCTGAGTGTGGCCGAACCAGTTCTTTATAAAGTGACAGACAATCTCCTTAGATGTATATACCCTTCTTGATAAAAGCCACCATTCTAACAGCCTTCTCTATTGGTGTGGGCATTGGACTGAGGGGGAGCACACAGACACACACAAAAAGCTTGGAAGAAGGCTAAGATCGCCTAGCCCTAAGGAGCTGGGCCTAAGGAGTAGTGCAGTGCCTGTGCAGTGATGTGGGAGTCAGTGTCACCATTGTTTCCCTTATTTGGTTCATGTATTTAAAGAGTCCTGAAAATAAAAAGTTTAAGATAACCACTTGCAGAGGCACTACCTGTACATCCTACCCTAGGTGACAGTGATGGCTCCAGAGAGCAGCAAGAGCTGTCATGGTTGTTACTACCTAGAACTAGAAATGTGATAAATTTGAGGAACTAAAAGTACAGCTTAAGACATAAATCACAGAGCTCTAACGTATTGTACCTCTACACATCTGGGTGTGTCGATCCATCGAGATACACATCAGAACCAGAACAACCTGCCATGTCCAAAATCCTTACAAATCCCTTCTAATCCAGATGCTGAAATTCACTCACTCATTGAAGGCTGACTGCCAGTTTCCTGCTCCAGTTCATCTTCCTCTATGCAGGTTCTAATATCATATGACCAGTGGTAGAAGGGTGGTCCTAATAAGCCTGGATGAGGTGGGCTGGAATACACATGAAGGTTCAGTGATCCCAAAATGGAAGAAGAGGACTGGCTGCTTGAGGAAGATGTGCTACTGTTTGAGATAGTGGAATGCGGCCTTTTAAATGGAGTGGAGTGGTCAAATGAAGACACTGCTATTGATGCTCGAGATCTTGATTCTACAAGCAAACAAGAACCTTTGATCATTGGAAGGAAACAAGGTGAATAAGGGAAAATGCTATTTTGAACAAGAAATAAAACAGGATTGGTAAAGTGTAATAGGCTAGCTCAATAATCGTCTACTACTTGAATTAAAATGTTATTGAACTGAGTTTAGGAAAGTCCATTTGTTCAGCCCACAGCTGCCTGTGTGCTCTCCAGATTTTCCGACCAGGAGAGATTGAATACACTTTGCGGTCTATATTGCTGAAGTTCTATGAGCTTAACAAAGGAAATAAGATACTATATCTATTACACCAATACAAAAGTAAGATCAATTCTTTGCGGAAATATGTTGCAATCAATTTTTTTTTTAAGAGCGTGAAACAATTAATGAAGACAATCATCCTAGCAGACTGGCAAGTGGGAAGGCAGAACAGCAATGTAATGTGAGTAGTAGACAGTACCTGTTCCCTTCATGATGTAATCTATTGCTCGGTCGCTTATGGCTGCTTCACTGGGCTTGATGTCCATGAAAGGTTTATTGCCTATTCCCATTGACACCATTTCTTGCATTCTGAGTTCTAAAGTGGGAAAATGCACATATGAAAAATATCAGCCACCCCTTTGATGTTTTAGTTATGCTGCTATGGGAGAACGAAAATATTTTCCTCTTTTCAGTACCCTCGGCAGTAGCTTACTGACCCCCTACAAGAGAGAAAAGCATTTATCAGCTGCAAACACTCTAGCTCTGGAGCCAGCCAGAGACTGGCAACTTGAGTCGGTCAGATTTCATTTTTTATAAAGTAACTAAAGGATTGTAAAGAATGCTGCCATCTCCTCTCGTGCCATCTCTCAGACCCATTTCATGATTATTATTGAATCTTTTTACCAGTAGGTGTTTTTTTTCCTAATGGCAAAGTGAGATTTGTTTTCCAACCATCCTCAAACATTACAGAATAATTCTTTAGAGGGAAAATGCGATGATTGTTGTTTTCATCACCACTGAACGTGACTCAGTTGCAGAACATCCCCAGACACCACACCAGTCAAATACATTGCAATTCAAAGCAGAGTTCATAACTTCACTCCTACTAAAAATATAGCCCTGGAAGTGGCATGTCATTTATGTCTAGCACAAATCACCAAGCCTATTGCCACCAGGATACCATATTATGAAGTTAACTTTAGTGTCAGGACTGTTTTACACAGTACTTTGAGGCTAGCAGTACAAATATCTTCCTGCCCTTAACTTAAGGTTCTTGGCAGAGAATCTACCCTTATTAAACTTTTTTTCCTGTTGTGGATGGATGGCTGCTTGTGCCAAGGATGGAGACTACCAGAGCTGCATGAATATTATGGTACTGTTTTATTATGCATGCCACACAATTAGGGTGGCATGCTCCCCTCTCTGGGCCTGGCCAGTCCCTGCTCTCTTTGAGGCAGCTTGCCCACCAAGGGGAGTTTGGAGCCCCGCCACCCTGCTGCAGGGCAGAAGGCCAGAGGCGCTCCCGGCCTGCTGGGCCCTGGAGGTTTTACAGCATATTGCGGGGATGGGGGGTGGGAGGCTCTGTGAAATAATCTATGAGAATTTAAGCCCTGCTTTCTTCTAAATAGCTTAGGGGTCATTAACTGACCCCAGGTCTGCAGTAAAATGAACTTATTGTTTCTCTAATAATTGTGGGTTAAAGGACACACAGCTCAACGGAAGGAGGTAGGCACTGACTGGTACATCAAGGTCTTAGTCTGGTAGCAGAGTTTCTCAAACATGCTGGGAACCATTCTTCTAAAAACCTATTAAGGTAATGAAATGAATCTGAGAATATAGTTAATCACCATTAATCAGGCACATGATCTTTGATGGGATATTTACAAAACAACAGAGCCAAACTGAAGCTGACCATACACATATACAACAATCCTTAATAACAAAAATAAAGAAAGATGTACAAGAATCTTTCCATATTGTTAGAACCTAGAAATATCCAAATCCTTAAGAAGACACTGTTGCTACAAGTACTCAGAAGGAAAAAAGGTCCTAAAGCTGCAGCATTAATTCATGGAATGCCCAGATGGATTTAGAATAAATATGCCATGTCCCTCCTCCTTTGTTCATATCTATTCCGTTCCTGTCAGTTCTGAGTTTACTGTCGCTTTCTGTGCTACTTCTCTTTTGGTGTGAATTAGGAATTTCTGAGAAGAATTCTGAAGTGATTGGCTAGAGAACAAAGGAAAAAGGATTAAAAAAGAAGACAGCATTAAAGTGGCTGAGTTAAAGCTTCAAATTGACCAGCTAGTATAAAGTCTACTTGTTAGTATCTCCCCAGAAATGCTTACCACCAAATAGGATTCTGCCCCAAAGTTACTATTTTCTAATTTTCTTTTTTCTGAGTCGTGTATTTAAACTTCTAAATGTAAAGTAACCGGGAAAAAAAGGGGGGGGGGAATCATGCCCTTTTCTTCATTATGTTGTATAAAGAAGGCCTACAAGGTAAGAACTTTTTGTTTCCCTTTTTGTTGTTTTTCTTTCCTTCCTTCCTTCCTTCCCGTTTGATTTTTACATTAGAAATGTCTACCCCATTTTTGTCTATGGATGACTGCAAAATGGTAGGAATATGACATTAGAGATACCATAACTATGTATACCATAACTACTTATGCTAAACAATCTGTTCCACCTTGTACTCAGAGTGTCACAGCTAAATACATTTCCCAGACCTGAAGAAGAGCTCTGTCTAAGCTTGAAAGTGTCTTTCACCCACAGAAGTGGGTCCAAAAAAAGGTATTACCTCACCCACCTTGTCTCATCAGCGATACCATGCAGTGAAACTGGACTAAAAGAGGGGGAGGTATTTTTGAATCAGACTGCTTGAAACTCTTAGCTCTCTTTTGTCATTTGTTTTGATTTTGTCTGCATCAATTTAACTTAAGTGCCTGACAAATCCATGGGTTAAAGATTTAAATTTGCCCTTCAAATAAGGGCTGAGAAAGCTCACAATACACATCTGGAGCTTCCAAAGAGTCCTGTAGCAAAACCAGGAAAGACCAGAGCTCCCTGTACTGATATTTCTAACATTAAAACAAACAAGGACGTCACCACCCTGCACGTTTGATGAACAAAACAAAAGGTCTTACTCATACCCCTTAAAAAAAATAAACAAACAACAAAAAAAAACACACAAGCAAGAAAGGGCAGTAACCCAATTTTTTCTTCTGGAGCTCACTTTTAAGCACTATTACCTGCATTTGTAAGAAGCAGTGCTACCTACTGTGGCAAGACTGAAAAACAAGTGTGTATTACACACAGATTTCCCAGGGCGATATGTTCCATACTTACCACCATTAAGGTATACAGTATAGCTGTAGCTGTATTGGTCCCAGGATAGTAGAGAGACAAGGTGGGTGAGGTAATATCTTTTATTGGACCAATTTCAGTTGGTGAGAGAGACAAGCTTTCGAGCTACACAGAGTTCTTCTTCAGATCTGGGAAAGGAACCCCCAGCATCATAGCAAAATGCAAGGTGGAACAGATAGCACAGAGTCTAAGGGACCATTCACGATAGAGTGGCCTGTTAACACCTCTGCAGTCATAGGACAAAAAGAGGAGTTAGTGGGTTACAGATTGTTGTAATAAGCAATAAAAATCCAGTGTTTAAAAACTGCCCACAGTGCTAGCAACATATCTAAGAGGCCCTCCCAAAGCCTGCTAATTGTAGAGAGACAACTTTATTGTGCTGTAATTGTTTTAGGAGTGCTGTTTGAAGAAGCTGTTTTCCAATTGCTTTTTTAAAATTGAAGTCTTTGGTGATTGCAGACATATAAGGGTCATGTAATGGGATTGTTTGACTTGCCTTTATAGAACTACAAGGAGTAGACTGCTAAACCCTTCAATCTCTTTCTGAATTAAATAGTTGGTGTACCTCGGTTTCTCAGAGCTTGTCTCCAAAGAATCCTTCCTATGATACTGGTCCAAGCAATTTTAACTTCTGTTGAGTTTGCTTGAAGGATGTATGTGTCCTGGGATTTCCTCCTCCTTCTAAACCAGATTTCAAATCGCAGACCACTATCTCCAACATTCTCTGTCATCCCAATCTCAGCCGTCTGAAATCATATTTAAAAAGCACACATTCAACTGCATGGAAACATAAACTGATCAAGTGAAATTCTTTGCATTCCTCATTCTATAATGGTAGAAAAATGTCTTCATCTTGACTGTACACATAGCTATAAATATTTCTGTTTGAATTTTCAATATCCCAAGAGTCAGCACTCTAGTTTCCCCATGTGATCTCTTTGTAGGAGCAGCATGGAGCTGGCAGTGTTAAACTCTAGGAGAAGCACAGAATCCTCAGCAGTTCAGAGAGTTTCAATGAATTAAGTTGAAGCTGAATATCTGAGGGCAGATCTTCAGCTAGTGGATGTTGTCATAGTTCAACATATACCAGCTGAGGATCTGCCCCTGGGGGTCTAGTATGCAGGGTGAATGCTCTATGTATGGCCTCAGTTCAACAATGCAGTTCAGCATATGCTTAAAGTTAAGCACATGCTTTGGTGAATCAGGGTTTCGCATATATCTGGTGTTGCCAAACAAAGGTAGTTGCCAAACCTGGCTTCCACACATACACCCCTCAAGAGGTACAAATCTGTAGTTAGAATGGAGGCTGAGAGGTCATAACTACATATCGGGCGCTTCTTGTTGTAATGAAAGAAATGTTAAAAATAATTATTTCTACAGGAAACACCTGGTTTCCCGTGAGTCCTGTCCAGCAAGACACACATGCACTTATGATACAGTATATATACACACACAGACATGTTTTGCTCATTTTACTCATCAGTTTCTGTCTCTCTCATTTCTTCCAACTTTTAAAAAACACACACAAACTACTTGAAATGTAACATGCAGTGGAACTGTGATCCTTCACCTACCATTGTCAAACAGATGGGGTTCCTGTCCACGCAGAATACTAAGCAGATGGCAGGAGGCATGCTGCATTGTACATGCTATCCAAACCATAACAGCAGGAGCACATTTACCTTGAATGACTGTTTGTACATGTAGATGTCATATCCCCCATCAATCTTTTTTGTTTTGCTAAACAAGATGAGGTCTTCAAAAAGGAAGACATGTCTCAAATATTTCTTTCTTCCACAGCAAACAATAAACTCATCTTGACATCTCAGCTGTCCTTGTTCTTTCAAATTGACCTGATTGGAGAAAATGACAATGCTACTAAAGATAAGGGAAGGCTGAGCCGATTTTGTCCAGTCCAAGGACGAATGGGGGAAGGGCATTATATCACGTAGGTTGAACGCTCTTTGGGCCACGGACTGTCTTCTTGCTTTATATTTGTACAGTGCCTGGCACATGGGGTCCTGGACCATGACTAGGGCTCCTATGTGCTACAGTATATATACAGTAAAATAAAATTAATAAATAATAATAATAATAATCTGCCTCTTAGCAACTTTCTGTCTTTGAATGAAAACTGCAGCAGCAAAGCCAAGGGGATATTTGAAAAATAAAGGAAAGATTGAGAAATGCTTACATCACACCCTCTAATGGCATCCATAGCAAGTAAGTCGTTTCCATGGCGAAGCTGGAATTTCACCATTTCTTCAGCTGCCCTGAGATCATTGAGCTCCTGCTCCTGGGTCTTAGTGCACTCTTTGATCATATCTTTTAGAAGAAGAGCATATTTGCTCATTCTTTGAATAGGCTTCAGCAGATAGGAAGCCAGATCCATCTTATCACCCAAATCCTGTTGTTTATTCTGTGGGAATATTAAAGGAATGTGTAAACAATATTTGATATACTGCATAAAAGTACACACAGCAGTGAGTGGTGTTCACACAATTCACATTAAATAAGAAGCTGGATAGTAATTACTTTAAAGAATGCATTTCCATGGCTTATAAGCAAAGCATCCGATTGTGGTTTGTTCTTGCTGTATAATGCATACATTCCAAACTGTTCTTCCTGAAAAAGTATAGGAAAAAGTGTTGTTATTCCTTGTTATTTTCTGTTTCTCCAACAATCAATTCCTTCTCCATTTAACATCAGTTTTGTACAAAAATCATGTACAGTGTATAACACCTCCCCACAATGGATGTATTCCAATCCAAAGCTGCAGGAGGTGCTTTAATCTAGACACATTTCGGCAATGGACATCCAAGAACCATTCATTTAGGAGATTTAGTTCTCTATAATTTACAGCTCTTCCAGATTGAACAATTTGCGAAATTCATCTGTTTCAACTATCTGTCTATGGTAGGTATTTCTAGAGCACCCTTCATTATAGTATCTAAATGCTCAATCAGCCAGGCTGACTTTAAACAATCATTGCAACTCATGTGAGTTCACTCAATGACTTTGTCAGGATCATTCATGTGAGTAAGGGCTACTCACATGAGAAAGTGTTTCCTGATGTGTGCTAGAGTTAATTTAGAACCATTAGAAATTGTAAGGCACTCCAGTTGGGGGGTGGGGATGGGGGTCGCAAAGGTACCTGGGCACCTAAATCCCAGTTTTAGGCTCCACTGCGATTCCCCAAACTCCCTCCAAACCCTGTAGGTGCTTAAAGTCATTTGGTGTCAAAATTTCACGTTAAAAGTTCCCTCAGTGCTCAAGTTTCTGCCTTTGGGCATGCACACTGCTGCCTCCCTCTAGGTGTCCGGGCACTTTTCTCCCATCTAAGCCCCAGAGCAATTCATGAATTGCAGCACACAGGAGTTTGCTTGCCTAACTTGCATGCAGCACCTGATCTGATATGTATGGTCAAAGGCTGCCTACTGGATCAGGTCCCATTCCAAATTTGGCTGGAGGAGATGGTGACGGCAGTGACCACCTTATCACTTTTAGCCCAGGGGTTCGAGCACTTGCCTGGGATGTGGACCCATGTTCAATTCTCCCCCCACCCCCACCAGAGGCGGGAGAAAGGATTTGAACAGAAGTCTCCTGCCTCTCAGGCAAGTGCTGTAACCACTGGGCTAAAAGTTCTAAGGTGGGTAACACCACCACCTCCTCCTTCGGCTGTTTACATGGAGCTAGGCAGGCACCTAAGGGTACCGCTACACTGCATTTTAGAACTTGCAGCAACGAACCTCAGCGCCTGGGGCTACAGACTCGGACTTGCGGTGCTGCACTAAAAACAGCTGGGTAGACATTTGGGATTGAGCTCTGAAGCTGGGGCAGTGGGCTGGGCTTCAGAGCTTGAGCGCCAGCCCAAGCCGCAGCAGCTACACTGCTATTTTTAGTGCTGGAGCACAAGCCCCACGAGCCCCAGTCTGAAGATGCGGGCTCTGGGACTCTGTCGTGAATTTTAAAAAGTAATGTAAACGTATCCATACTCATTCTCAAAAGAAATACCCTAGGTGCCCAAGCCACCTGACTCCCATTCATGAATTGCTAGGAGAAATAGGCACCTCCTTGCGGCCCAGACTTAGGTGCCTATCTCCATGAGAGGAGTGGGGCATAGGACACGGTCTTGTCCTCAGCATCTCCCATTGGGGCTAGCTTAGGTGGCTTCTTACCTAGTATGCTGGCCTTTGTGAATAGCGTTGTTGTTCCTGAGATTTTCTAGGTGCCTAAAAGTTATGCACTGTGACGCTCAGCGTTGCAGCACCTATGTCCCTTTGTGAATCTGGGCTTCAGGTCCCAGTGCTGAGTGTGGTATAGATCGATATCTAGATAGCATTGTGCCCCATCTAGTCTTTAGCACAGAATGAGATCTTCTTCAATAACTGAATGGTATTAAAGCATACAAAAAGATTCCCTTTTAAATTCCCTGGACATGAGAGAGGCTTCCCAATTCATTGGAAGGTATAAAAAGATCAGGCAAGATCACTATTTTCCCATTGCCTCGGAACACTGAAATAAACAATCTTTTTCACTTCACATGTTTGTTTTCCTTCTTATTAAACAAATTTATCTTCTTCCTTCCTTTAAACTAATGGGACCCAAACAAATCATCTAAGGATAAACAAACATATCTTCCCCTCATAATACAATCTGAGCAAGCAACCAATAAGTAAATGTTGGTTTTCTTTTAAAAGAAAAAATAAACCTAGATTATTATGAACTGCTCTCTGATTTTTGCCTGATATTGTAGAATAGTTTTTCAGATAGCTTTGTGTTAATACAATACAGTATTTATAAAAATACAGCACAATTGTGCTTCTCCTGGTTTATCCATCGAATAATAAGGGAATTCAGGTATCAAATGATCAGGTTCTACAATACTTTCTCAGGCAAAGCTCCTGTCAAAAGAAGATCAAGTTTTTCAGTTTTCCAGGTTTCTTTCTCCTCCTTTTCTGTTTCTCCCTCTTTCCCTTTTTTCCATTTTAACACTGAAAATGAAGGGGGAGGGGGGTTAGGGGAGAGGGAGGGAATAAAAAGAAGCAGAAAGAAGGTAAAATAAGTTTGAGTTTGAAAACCAAAAAAATCTTTGGTTTTAGCTTTTCATTTTTTCTTCAAAAAAAATCAGAAATTTTTGAAAAAATGCCTCATGAATATATTAATTTTTTTATAAAAACCCCCATCAATGAAAGGCCTTCCTTTGTCCTAATCTTTACAAGGGTCTGCCTCCTTTTATTTTGTTATTCCTAGTATGAGAACAGGATAACTAAACGAGAAACTGCAGATTCCAATATGAGCTGGAGACAGTTTGATCCTTGAAATCCTCTGCTGGAGCCCACAGAATTAGGACAACAACATCAGCCTCTCTTTCTCCTGCAACAGCTAACATATCAGGTGGCAGCCCTAGCAATAAAGGACCTGTATGGAGTTTAGGGTTATAGCTTCCACTCCAGGCTCCTCTGCATTACTCCCTCAAATGTAACGCTCAAGAACACAGGGAGCAAGGCCAGGTCCCCTTTCTCTGGGCTTAGTGATGGCTCACAAGCAGATTAATAGAGTATGAGTGAAAACTGACAGTTAGTTGAGTGGCAGGACTGGCAAGAGCAAAGAGGCTTGCTTGTCATCCGGGTACTGGAACACAGCCCAAAACCACTACTCAGCTGAATAGCAGGACATAGGCGTCAAAGACAATCTGGTGCTGCCTGAGTACCAGCTACAGGCAGAAGAACATGTCATGGTTCCCTTGTGCCTGCACGCACAAAACAACAAGCATGCTGGGAGAGTCATTTGGAAGGGCAGTGCTACAAAACCCTCTTGCCCAACTTCCCCATCTAAGCTTCCCTGACAAATCAGCCACATTGTAAGTGGCATACTGGTATTTGCTCCTTTCAGACAAGTAGAACCCAGGAGAGCAAACAAGCTTTTCACGTGCAGGCTGGATATCTGGCAAACAGAGGATGTGGGCCAAAGGGAATGGTACAGCATATGCTCAAAGATGAAGAGAGGAGCGGGAGAAACAGGAAAGGAGTAACTTCTCGTGTGTCACCAGACTGAGAAAAATCCGACCTGGTATTAAAGTTGTCTCACCCATCCAACCCTAAACACATACAGAATCAACAAAGCTATCACTTTCCTCTACAAAGGGAAAGAAAACTCAGATCTCAGTCCAAGGAACTATCATTCAAATTGGCCAACCTGCTATGGCCCAGAGCTTTCAAAAGGGTCTGAGACATCAGTAAACAACTGCCACTTTCATACTAATGGTGTCTAGTAACGAGCACTAAAGCAATCTCTTCCTCTTTCACCCAGGCCTTGAGCAGGAAATGGCACTATGTGCAAAATGCAGCCTGAAAGAATCTGAGTCCAGGACACCATCTTCTAGAGCAGAGAATAAATCACCACAGCAAATTTCTTCCTTATCTGCCAGCATCCTCCAACCTACTAACCGAGCAATATGGACAAAGTAAATATCAAGGACTGACACATCCATGCTGGGGAACATCTGCAAGCTGAGCACAAGCAACAGGTTCCTGGATGGAGTCACTTCTGAAGGTCAGAGTCTGGCCCAAAGAGTTAGTCTTCCAGTGTTTGTAAAGCCCGTTAAACATGAATAACATTAGATACTATAGGTTTCAGAGGGGTAGCCATGTTAGTCTGTATCAACAAAAACAACGAGGAGTCCTTGTGGCACCTTAGAGATTAACAAATTTATTTGGGCATAAGCTTTCGTGGGCTACAACCCACTTCATTAGATGCATGGAACGGAAAATACAGGAGCAGGTATAAATACATGAAAAGATGTGAGTTGCCTTACTAAGTGTGAGGTCAGTCTAACGAGACAATTCAATTGACAGCAGGATACCAAGGAGGAAAAATAACTTTTGAAGTGGTAATGAGAGTGGCCCATTTCAGACAGTTGACAAGAAGGTGTGAGTAACAGTAGGGGGAAATTAGTATTCATCACGGATCTACAACCTATCCTGAAGGATGATCCCTCACTCTCACAGACTTGGGGGACAGGCCAGTCCTCACTTACAGACCGCCTCCCAACCTGAAGCAAATACTCACCAGCAACTACACACCACACAACAAAAACACCAACCCAGGAACCAATCCCTGTAACAAACCCTGGTGCCAACTCTGTCCACATATCTATTCAAGGGACACTATCATAGGACCTAATCACATCAGCCACACCACCAGGGGCTCGTTCACCTGCACATCTACCAATGTGATATATGCCATCATGTGCCAGCAATTCCCTTCTGCCATGTACATTGGCCAAACTGGACAGTCTCTACACAAAAGAATTAAAGGACACAAATCTGACATCAGGAATCATAACATTCAAAAACCAGTAGGAGAGCACTTCAATCTCTCTGGTCTCTCAATAACAGACCTAAAAGTGGAAATTCTTAAACAAAAAAACTTCAAAAACAGACTCCAACGTGAAACTGCAGAACTGGAATTAATTTGCAAACTTGACAACATCAGATTAGGCCTGAATAAAGACTGGGAGTGGTTGGGTCATTACAACACCTAAACCTAATTTCCCCAATACTAATTTCCCCCTACTGTTACTCACACCTTCTTGTCAACTGTCTGAAATGGGCCACTCTCATTACCACTTCAAAAGTTATTTTTCCTCCCTTGGTATCCTGCTGTCAATTGAATTGTCTCGTTAGACTGACCTCATACTTGGTAAGGCAACTCACATCTTTTCATGTATTTATACCTGATTCTGTATTTTCCACTCCATGCATCTGATGAAGTGGGTTCTAGCATACGAAAACTTATGCCCAAATAAATGTGTTAGTCTCTAAGGTGCCACAAGGACTCCTTATTAAATACTCTAAGTGCTATAGTGGACTGAGAGCCAGGTTATTACATCCCACCTATCCTCTGTAATGTATGTTTCTTTTTACTATCCTAGCATAAACAGAATGATATCTTGTTCTTTTCTGCAAATCAGGTGGGGAAAATCACCATGTGCCCGCAGGCAACACATTTCCATTAATCTTTACAGGGATAGAGTTTGAAGTGATTAACATAGACATCCCACCTGGAGGCACAATGGTGATTTTCCTAGATGACTTGAAGGATTCTCTGTATTCTAGAAAACTAGAGGTAGTATGCATTGCAAAGGGGATGAGGAATAGAATAACTTGCTCCTTTGTCAGTATCAGCACATACAGCATACAATGCTTTTCAACTTTACAAACACAAATTAATCCTCACAACACCCTGGTATGGTGAGAAAGTAATAAAATCCTGACTTTTCCATCCTAGGCAATAGGAAAAATCACAGCTGTGGCTCCAGGTGAGGGGCCTACATTAAGCATTCACAACAAAAAGGATTCTCTTTTCAGATCATCTCCTTACTTAAAAAACAGTGGGCTATTTAATCAATCATTTATTGTCAGGGTTGGGATTTTCTTTTGTGGTTAATACTGGTTACACAGATTCATTAGGAAAGAGTAAAGAAACACCATGTGAAATTGGATGCGTTTTTCAAGCCATTATTGTACATTTCCCAATTGCTTTTAATATTACTTTGATACAATTATGACATGCCTGAGATGGCTTCAACAGACACTATGGGAATTTAATAAAGTGAAGCAGGTTTAGAAAGCGGAAATAGACTGACAGAAACCTATCTGCTTCTGCTCTAAAGTAACATCTGAGGATATGTGGTTCAGACAAAGATGGCTATTATGGAATATACCAGTGGGGCAAAAGTTTGTGTAAGATATAATAAGAAAACTGAAGAATAATGTTCAATTAATGTGAATCACAAACAGTAGGACAGTATTCGTTAAGATATGCTTTTCAAAAAGAGAGAAGGACAGCCAAAATACAAAGAAATGCAGGAGCAAGCAATGGGAAAAAATTTAAACCTCTGGAGCCCTGAGCTGCTACAGCAACAATTATTTACTTAAAAGTATCCAGCCTTCTATATTGCAGTACTCTCTACTTAACCATTGTATACGAGCACTCAGGACCACAGAATCATGACTGATGATGGCCAAGTGGTTAAAGAAGTAGGGAGAAATAGTTCATTATAGTGAGAGTAACCATGACCACTATAGTTAAAAGTTGCAGAATAGAAATGCTTTTATGCCCCATCTGCCTTTCCACCCTCCCCAGCTCCCAGTCACTTTTGGTTTTTAGACTGCTATTATGGTGTCTGCTTCAAAGTGAACATTTTTGGAAAGTCTGAGCAAAAACATTTCCAGAGTTTGGCAGTATGTGGAAAATGAAAATAAAAAAGCTTTTCCCATTATAAAAATGACCTATTTTTGAACACTGGTAGCACTGAAATGTCACGGGTAAAAAGTTGAAATTTGGCATGGAAATAGTGTTGTTTGAGAAGAACCTTTGTATGGTCTGGTGAAAACTACTGTATATTTTTCCTTGTTATGACACACTGAAATCATTTTATCTGGATGTACAATAAATTTTACACAGATTATCTTGCTAAACTTGAAGGCATGGCTAAGGAAGGCTGAACTGCACAGGTATGCATGGTGAAGTAAGATGCGCAGTGAATGAGGAAGGGGTTTCACATCTGTGTACCAAAAACTGACCAGCTTGTAATATGTGCAGAGCTGTCTTCTCCTGTAAAACTCCTAAGGTGTGTGGAATAGGACATTCCAGTGGTTTCTAACACAGCAGTGAAATGTTGAGGCATTTCTGACCATAACAGTTATTTCCTGATGTTCAAGTGCTCGCCATGTCACCATAGCATTTGATTAACATTATTTTTGATGGATTTTAAAGTTGGCTTAATTTATAATCCGTGTAATATGCAACAATAAGTCTTTGAAAACATTTTACAAGGAAATCCTGATCACCAGGCCCATTCTACTTATCCCGACAGCAAAAATTGACCTGAAATCAGTGTTTCCCAAACTTTTGAAAGATGGACCTTCCCTTCAAGAAAATTAAATCAATTGCACTCCCCTTCAACCCTGCCATATGTTGCTAAAGCCCCCCCCCTTCTCTGCCCTGTGTTAGCGCCATACTGAGATTTCTGCAGGCGAGTGAGGGGCCAGGTCCACACAGGGCCTCTCAGGAAGGTAATGACATGCTCACTTGCATAACCTCCCCACCCCCATCAGTGGTTCCTCATATCCAGACAATAGACCAGCACCATTTCAGCCACTCTATGCCCCTTTCCACAATGGCTGCGCCATCCTCTGGATCAGTCGTGCTGATGCAGACGTTGAAAGAAGGGATGTGCCCTGAACATCCTGCTAGGAGAGGGTCAGAATTAGGCACACAGCGAAGGAGGCCCAACAAGGCATTTCCAAACAGCAAAATGTTAGTGCTTTTAAATGTAATTTTAAATTTATTTTTTCTGTCCAGATGCATCTGATTAGCTGAATGGAAATGTTCATGTATCACAATTAAACTACAAGTACAATGCTGGAGACGGATACCCAAAATCACAAGCCACGCATCAGACCAGCCTCGTATATGCAGAACGATCCTTCTGCCATCCCAGAGCCGTCCCTTGGGTAGAGCGAACCGGGGCGACCGCTCCTGGCCCCACGGGCTGGTGCAGTCGGTCCCAGAAGAGACGAATCCATCACTTCTGCCCCGGGCCCCGCCTCCCTCCCCCACCACAGGGACAGCCCTGTGTCATCCAATACATAGCCCTCTGTGTACACATTACACACAGAGAGCACATACCACCATCTTTTCTCTGATTAAATGCCTGCTATATTCAGCAGGTGTAGTTCACACGTCAGAGCAAATGTGTAAGCAGCAATTTGATGCTTTGTCTATTGTAAGAAAATTACTGTCAATAAGGTGAGATTGTGGAATTTAAGATAAGTTTCCTCTTGAAACAATATCAGCCCCTTCGTCCCAACTCACTTGTTGACATTAGAGTGATCATATGACACTAGGTACTTTTCCAGTGTGATTGCAAATGATGCTATAAGAGCACCTGTGCATTGGTTAATAATAGGAAACAAAATTAATAGAAAACATATATAATTATAGAAAACTGAAAACTTAGAGGCCATATCACTTGTGTGGCAAACTCAAGTATTACTTCTAGCAAATTTAGAAAGGGTCCAGCCAGCATGTTTTGAGATATCAAAAGGTGCAGCTGCGTGAGGACCTAGGGGTACATGTACAACTCTCTGAGAGAAGACAATAGGCCACATACACAGACAACAGTAAACATTCATCACAGGAAATCTAGAATGTACACACTATGAGAAACACAAAAAAGGTAAGTGACATGATTTACTCGGTAATAGGATCTGTGATTACCTCAAAATATCTGATTCTAAGAATTCACCCTTCTTTGGAAACGGGACTTACATGTCTGAGAAAACAGTGGCTGACACGCAGTGGGAAGTCTCTGCAGTGTTCCAGCTCTTTTAGAAAATACTGGCAATGGAAATCATAGAGCTTCTCCAGGTTCCCAAAGATAATATTCCGCTTCCCTCGCAAATCCTGAGGTAAATCGATTCTTTCCATTTCTGGAAAATAGTTGTCGATGATATATCCTAAGGATCTAACATATTCCCTTTCTGTTGTGATCATTTCATCCATTATATGTTGCACTTTGCTGCTGGAAGACACAGAACAGCTGTTTTGAACACTGACAAATTATGACAATGGGTAATCACTGAATACTGAGTGACTGTCTTTGCTCATTTGCATTATTTGGCTCATTTTTACCTGTCCTTTGAGGAAATCACGCTGTAGCACTGGTGGCTAAGTTGTTTACCATTATAGCAACAGATCTTTCAGGGTTTTTTTTTGCTCATCTCGAGCAAATTGAGCAAATTTTGCCCCCAGTTACAACGGTGGAATCTCACTGACTTCAGTGGAGTTACGTGTGCATACCAGAGGACAGAATTTGGTCTACAACAGTCTACAGCAGCTGTAATGTAACAGCTAAGCAGACAGAAAAGAAAGAAAGAATTTTGAGCTCTGGAAAGACTTTTTCATTGTATTAAAGAACTTTCTATTGCATTTGCAAGTGTCATGACCTTTTCCATTCCTGCATTCCGTTTGGAAACAGAGCAACATTCCTGGGATGATAAACTAACATATAGCTAAATTCTCATGAGTTTCCCTACACAATATATCCTCTGACACAATATGAGCTCCCATTGAGAAAGCATGTTCAGTTCTGAAAGATTAAAATATGTGACCAGTTCTAGAATTACAGGAAGATTTGCATTCAGCAAAAACAGATTATGAAAAACAAGGCAAACTGAGGAAGCAATCAGTTTGGAAGAAAAAACAATTTCTGATTAACATTAAACATTTGACAACATAGAAGCAAACAATTTCTTTGAGGAAAAAGGTGTATTCTCATTCATAGACCATGTGATTGAGAAATAAAAGTATAGAAAATGTTGTTTTTGGTGAGATTTCATTAACTAGTATACTTTATTTGCAAGGAATTGAAGCTATCTGAACTTTTGATAATACAATATGTTTGACTTCATAATAACTAAGTTTTTTCTTTTTCATATTAACATTCCTACAATAATTTAATAAACAACATAAAAATAGTAGAAACATTTTTGGATGGTTAACAATGACAGGAACAGATTTTAATCTTTACTTCTAACATAACAAATCAAACAAAAACCAGCCACTATAGTAGATTCATCATGATGGGAAATGCTGCTGAATAAACTTGATTTAATGAGATGGACATAGCTGATGACAATACAGAGAACTTTTTGATTTATTAAATCGTTTTAATGGCATCTGAGGTTACATACTAACAATTCCATCAGCTGGGGGGACATAACTATTTATATTATGAATTTTTTTCCCTTATGAAATTGGCGAGCTCTTAAACCTTCATCAAAGAGGCCAATTAGAATAACTTCAGTCAGGATTTCCTGTCTAAAAAGGGAAATGCATCTTACAGTAGCTCTTTAGTGTTAAGATTAGAGGTGAGCTTGAATCTTAAATCCTAGATCCAAACATCCTTGAACTTGGGGCTTTGAATCCAAATCCAGATTTGTGGCTGAATTCTATGGCCAATAACTTGGATCAAACACCAAAACGAAATCCCAGATCTGGACAACCACAAGCTTTAAGTGAGGTGGGATAAAAATCTGTATTTGGATCTAAATGTTGTAATCCAGGCCAGGGATCTCAAAGCATTACACTGTGACCTCTTTTCTCCCATTTCTCACCAGAGGGAGCAAGGAGGTCGAAAAGTATTTGCAAATATTAAGTAAGCTGCACATCAACTCTGTGAAAGAAGCGTTAGTTTGCCCATCTTTAGAGCTGGATGAAAAACGGGACATTTTAATGACAGTTTTTGTGGAAAAAAATTAGTTCATTTTTCATCATAATTCAAATTTTCATTAAAAATTCTGTTGAAAGCTTCACATTTTGCAATGTTCAAACCAGCTCCACCTAGAAGTAATTAGAGTCACAAAGCATTTAAGGGATAGGTTTTGGCTGGCCTCGGTAGAAGCAGCGTTGTCAACTCTCAAGACTTTTATCTTGACTTCCCGTGGTATTTGGTGTTTTTCTTAAAGCTCCAGCACCTGGAGTCAGGTGAACACATGAGAATCTTGAGGGTTTTTTAATAAATACATTTCTAGCTCTCGTGGCTGCAGAGAAAAGCTAGAAAACATGATCCCCAAAAGCTCAACAAATGCAAGAAGGTAAATAATAGACCCCACATTTTAAAAACCTCATGATTTGTAAGCCAAGCTCATGTATTTTGGGGCTTGACTCATGGTTTTTGAATGGTTGGGATTGGCACTACTGCATGGATGCCTAGCAGACTGCCCATGGGAACACACTGAGTCAGTGGAGAGCTGGGACTAGAACCTAAGACCTTGATTCCCCACTAATTTATTCCAGTGTAAATAAGGAGTATCTCTAAAAAAGTGAAACGCATGTAAATGACAGGAAAATCAGGCCTCATGAGTCCAAACTCAGCCTCACTCTTGAATCACTACATTGTACTACACCTCATGGAAAAGTCCTATATAATTTAATAGAAAAATTAAATTATACTTTCAATAGAATTCTATAGGATAATTAAAAATAAAAAAAACTTACAAAAAGTATGCCAGTATTTATTAACTGCAATAGGTTTTAAGATAACCAATAAGAAACTATAAAATTTTGTCCCTATTAAATTCTAAAGGACTTTTCCAAAAGGAAATGAAGACCATATTGTAACTCATGGCATTCCAGAGTTGAAAATCATAAGCAAAACTTTATCTTTTTGTGCTTTAATAACTACATAATCCAATACAAATGCATTAAAAAAAATCTTTTAGCAGACGTAATCCTGCAAATACTCAGCCATGTGAATAAAAGTTACTGATCTGATAAGTGGCATTGACTGCAGTGGTTCTACTGGACTAACCTTTTTCACGTTTGTTTGCAGGATTGGGTGCAGTTTTTGTAAACTCCCATTAAACCACTGAGCCTGGTGAAACTCCCATTAAACCACTGAGCCTGTGGTCCCATGACTTGGTCCAGAATAATTAGATAATCAAATTAAGGAATTATGTCTGAAGATAAGTACCCAAATTTGCATGGATTTAAGTGTCTGCAGGATTGGAGCTTAAATGGGGAAAAAGATGCTGTTAACCTGAACAAATTTGCATTGGAGGAATATAGCCTCCATAGTCCGAAAATAAAGAATCCTAATTTTATAAGAAGGCATTGTGGAAAAGTGGAGCCATTCCAAAGTTTACTCATTTCATAAAAAAGAAGTTAAGTCAAATAAAACCACAAACTACTTTGATTGGATTGGATTTTTTTTTGTAACTACTAAAAGTTAATGTACATATGTTTTAAAAGAGGAAAGTACATAGTTCAGTTTGGACAGCTTGTTTTGGCCTGTTTAAAAGCAGCCTTTACAGATTAAAAAAAAATGGAAACCAAACAGACTTTTTTAAAAACACCAATTTCTATCCAAGAAAGATCACACAGGACGCCCATTCTTCCTCTGTTGCACAAATTGATGGTAACATTACTATTCAGCAACACAACTAAGCACGTGCTTAACTTCCAGATCATTAAGTCAATGGGATTTAACCATCTGCTTAAGTTTTTTGCTGAATAAGGATGGTTTGCTGAATTGGAGCCCTTGAAAGCTTTAATACACAGATACTATAACAAAACATATGATTATTTATGAACTACTGTGGGACACATTCTGATATTCTTACTCAAATTGAATATCACCTTACTCCATGAGTAATCCCACTGGCTTCAATGGGATTGCTTGCAGAGTATGGTGTTACTCAGTGTGTGTAAGGGTATCAGAATCTGGCCCTCAATTACTAGACAACAAATATAAACAGCTTGACTTTTTAAAAACTTAAACATAAATCTTGAACTCTGTTCAGGCACACACACAAAGTCAGGTTGGGGTTTTTTTGTACAAGATTATTAAAATATAGGTAGATTTGATAATAGATTTTGATTTCAGTTTCCTTCTTTAGAGCAGTCAAACTTTGGTCTTCCTTTTAACCTTTTTTTTTCTTTTTGGCACTAACTGGGATAACTTTATGCTGTTAAAATACAAAATCCCAGGGAGAGGGGAAGGGAGGGAGGGAGGATCCTAATTGAGTGCGAAAGAAAGAGCGACCAAAAGTAAGTTTGACAGAAAAAAAATAGTGAAACTTAAGCAGAACTTCAAATTCAAATTGGAGCTGAAGACAGTGTTAAAATTTCCTCTGCATTTGTAAATTATGTTTATCTGTATTTCCTTAATAGTCTGTCACCAACTCTAGAACAAATATACTTTATCTTAAAGAAAAACAATAAATTATTTTAATGGTCATTTCCTTATGGAACGCTGTCAAGATAAAAATAATATATTTAAAGCTGTTCTTTGAACAATAATCATTGTTACTCAGATTATTAAAATTGAATTTTTTAAAAAAAATGTAATTCACTTTTATAGGAACCACTGTGTGCTTACTATATGCACTTCACTCAGCTTGGAATATGAAACTTTTGGTTAGTTTCAATTTCTGGCTGTTAAGTAACAGCACAACGGAGCTGGTTTTCCAAAACTGGAGGGAAACATATAAATCCAAAATCCCCAACACATTAATATCGAAAAAATAAGGAAACATTTCTTTTCATAGTAGGCTAAGGCCTCAATCCTGAACAGATTTACACACGTGTTCAACATTATGCCCTCTGAATAGTCCTATTGATTTTCAGTGGGACTGCTCACAATGAGTAAAGTTAGACTCCTAGACTTTAAGGTCAGAAGGGACCATCGTGATTAGGGTCCTACCAAATTCACGGCCAATGAAAAACACCTTGAATCTGGTCTCCCATTGTGAAATCTGGTCTTTTGTGTGCTTTAACCCTATACTGTACAGATTTCACAGGGGAGACCAGTGTTTCTCAAATTGGGGGTTCTGACCCAAAAGGGAGTTGCAGGAGGGTCACAGGGTTATTTTAGGGGAGCTGCAATATTGCCACCCTTACTTCTGCTCTGCCTTCAGAGCGGGGTGGCTGGAGAGCGGCGACCGATGGCTGGAGAGCGGCAGTTGTTGGCCGGGCGCCCAGCTCTGAAAGCGGCGCTCCGCCAGCGGCAGTGCAGAAGTAAGGGTGACAATACCATACCATGTCACCCTTACTTCTGCACTGCTGCAGGCGGCGGCTCTGCCTTCAAGGCTGAGCTCCCAGCCAGCAGCCACCTCTCTCCAGCTGCCCAGCTTTGAAGGCACCACTGCTGCCAGTAGCAGCGCAGAAGTCAGGGTAGCAGTACTGCAACCCCCTCTACAATAACCTTGCAGACCCCCCCACGCCACACACACACACAACTCCTTTTTGGGTCAGGGCCTCTACAATTACAACACCATGAAATTTCAGATTTAAACAGCTGAAATAATGAAATTTACAATTTTAAGAATCCTATGACTGTGAAATTGACCAAAATGGACTGTGAATTTGGTAGGGCCCTAACCATGATCATCTAGTTTGACCCCCTGCACATTGCAGGCCACTGTACCTCACCCACCCATTCCTGTAAATAGACCCATAACCTCTGGCTTTTACTGAAGTTCTCAAATCATGATCTGAAGACTTCAAGTTAAAGAGAATCCACCATTTACACTAGCTTAAGCCTGCAAGAGACCCGCGCCCAATGCTGCAGCGGAAGACAACCCCCCCCCAGGGGGGCTCTGCCAATCTGAGCAGGGGAGAATTCCTTCCCGACCCCAATTATGGCAATCAGTTGTACCCAGAGCATGTCGGCAAGACCCACCAGACAGACACCTGGTAAAAAATTCTCTGTAGTAACTCAGAGCCCTCCCCATCTAGTGTCCCATCACTGGCCATTGGGGATTTTTGCTACTAGCAGTCGCAGATTTGCTACATACCATTGCAGACAGTTTCATTAGACCAGGGGTAGGCAACCAATGGCATGTGTGCCAAAGGCGACACGCAAGCTGATTTTCAGTGGCACTCACACTGCCTGGGTCCTGGCCACCAGTCCGGGGGGCTCTGCATTTTAATTTAATTTTAAATGAAGCTTCTTAAACATTTTAAAAACCTATTTACTTTACATACAACAATAGTTTAGTTATATATTATAGACTTATAGAAAGAGACCTTCTAAAAATGTTAAAATGTATGACTGGCACGTGAAACCTTAAATTAGAGTGAAAAAATGAAGACTCGGCACACCCCTTCTGAAAGGTTGCCGACCCCTGCATTAGACCATACCCTCCATAAACTTGTCAAGCTCAATCTTGAAGACAGTTAGTTTTTTTGCCCCCATTGCCCCCCTTGGGAGGCTGTTCCAGAACTTCACTCCTCTGATGGTTCGAAACCTTCGTCTAATTTTGAACCTAAACTTGTTTATATCCATTTCTTCTTGTGTCCATATTGGCACTTGAATAACTCCCCTCCCTCCCAGGTATTTATAGAGAGAAAACATATCTCCCCTCAGCCTTTGCTTGGTTAGGCTAAACAAGCCAAACTCTTTGAGTCTCCTCTCATAAGGTAGGTTTTCCAGTCCTCTGATCATCCTAGTAGCCCTTCTCTGCACCTGTTCCAGTTTGAGTTCATCTTTCTTAAATATGGGAGACCAGAGTTGTACACAGTATTCCAGATAAGATCTCACTAGTGGTTTATATAATTGTACTAACACATCCCTGTCTCCACTGGAAATACCTCACCTGACGCATCCCTTGACTGCATTAGCTTTTTTCATGGCTGCAGTACATTGATGGTTCATAGTCAACCTGTGCTCAATCAATAAACCCAGGTCTTTCTCCTCCTCTGTTGCTTCCAATAGATATGTCTCCAGCTTAGAGCAAAAATTCTTGTTGTTAGTCTCTAAGTGCATGAACTTGCACTTTGCACTATTAAATTTCATTCCATTTCTATTACTCCAGTTTTCAAGGTCATCCAGATCTTCTTGTATGATATTCCAGTCCTCCTCCATATTGGCAATACCTCCCAACTTTGTGTCATCTGCAAATTTTATTAGCACTCTCTCTCACCTTTTGTGCTAAGGTCATTAATAAAAATGTTAAATAAATGGGTCCCAAGACTGATCCCTGAGGAATACCACTAGTAACCTCTCTCCAGCCTCATCTTTCAGTCTGACCTGTTGTAGTCTCTCCTTTAACCAGTTCCTTATCCATCTTTCAATTCTCATATAAATCCCATCTTTTCCAATTTAACTAATAATTTCCCATGTGGAACTGTATCAAATGCCTTACTTAAATACAGGTAGATTAGATCTACTGCATTTCCTTTGTCTAAAAAAATCAGTTATCTTCTCAAAGAAAAAGATCAGGTTGGTCTGGCACAATCTACCTTTTGTAAAACCATGTTGTATTTTACCCTAATTACTGTTTACCTCTATGTCCTTAATTACTCTCTCTTTCGAAACTTGTTCTAAGACCTTGCATACAATTGAGGTCAAACTAACAGGCCCTTAGTTTCCCAGATTGCTTTTTTCCCTTCTTAAAAATGGGTACTATATTAGCAATTCTCCAGCAATTCTCCAAAATCTGAGTTTATAGATTCATTAAAGTTAAGCATGTGTGTAAGTCTTTGCAGGATTGGAGCTTAAATCTTGAAGTCCTCACTCAGTTTCCACTAAACTCTTACTTGATTTCAGAGGGCCTCAAGTAAGAAGTCTAAGGATTTTGTCTATTAAGTTGTATAAACTATTAAAAACCGTCTCCCTCCGCCCCACCAAACCTAAGTGTTGGGTCTAAAATGACTTGACAGTGTCCCTTTAAAATGAACAGCTTATTTTGTATTCGGCATGTTGAATTTAATGTCTCTTTTAAACTGTTTTTCAGAAAGCGTTTAGAATAGTACAGTACTTTATTTGTTCCTCACTCAACAAAATGGATTGTGTTGTGGCCATTTCTCACCTTCCTGCTCTCTTTTTTTCTTCTTCTTCTGTATGATGGATCCTTGATGGGGAAGATAAACTTCGGTTTCTACTAATCAAAGGGCTTTTAATATTCAAGCGCTGCATGTATTTCTTCTCAGCAGCAACATTGCTGGCCACCTCCAATCCCTTGATATAAACTCCAGTGTATCCGTGGCGGTGCAACTCGCTGTGGCTGCTCTCAAGCTGAGTAAACTCAAAGCTTTTAGTTTTCTTCATGATTTTCTTTAGTGGATGTTTTCTGTGGCGGGTAGTTGGTGACTGGACTGGCTCAGAATAGCAGGAGGCTGATCCTGAGGTGGAAACATTGTCCATATCTTCTGAGATTGGGCTAGTCCTTTGAAGCCCACCCAAGAGAGGAGTAAATGTCTGTGGTGGAGATGCATTAAGCTGCACATATACATCCATATTTTGATTGGAGTTCTCATGGTCTAAAAAAGGTGGTACTCCTGATGGCAGGCTCATATGCTGAGGTTTATGCAATGACTTAACATTATTATCCCAAATGTTATTATCAGTGTTAGAAGAGAGTCGAGAAAGGGACTGACTTGGTTGTCTAGCATCTTCAGTATCAAACTCACAGTTAACTTTTGCATCCGCTTCCTGGGGGACTTTGCGAGAAGTTTCTTTGTTGGAACCTTTGAGAGCTTCAGAAAGGACCTCTTCTAAATGGTGCCTTGTTTGCTGACATTTTAGCCATAAAATATTCCATTGTTTTAGTTCCTTTTTGCTAGCCAGACCCAATACCATCTCATTCACTTTCTGAAAGTTTTCTGCAGAAACTTTTGTAGCTTCTTGGTGGTAGCTCTGCAAACTCTGAATCACTGATTGAGAGTATTTGTTCTCCACAGTAAGATGTTCAAGATAGTCATTGCAGTGTAACATCCACCCATGTGCCTGGATTAAAAGTGAAAAGTACAGTTAAATAGTAAGACTGTGTACTCATATAACACCTTCTGTTTTAGAATCTCAAAGCAATTTACAAATATCAGGGTGAAAGTCAACCTTATGCAGAGGACCAACAAAAGGCCTGTGCAACATTTAAGTCCCATTTAAGTGCTCATAATAGATCTTAACATGATATAAGTGCTGAATAGGTGTTGTGCTGTCCCTTTACACAGGGGCGAATTTTGCTTCTTATGATATGTCTACACAGCAATGTAAGCCCAGGCTTGAGCCTGGGCTCAAGCCTAACCCCCCTTGCGTCCACTCACCAATTGTGTTAACCTAGGGCTTGAGCCCAGGAGTGGAGGGTCCAAGCCCGTGTTAAGCTGGGACCTAGAGTCCAAGCTTATTGCTTTCCTGTGTGCATGTGGCTCTGGCTGGACTCAGGTCCCAGAAGTTCTCCGGATGTATCTCAAAGTTCCTTGAGGCAACTTCCTTCGTCCTCTCTATGCCGACAATCTGTGGTGCAATCCCAGGGAGGGGCGGGGAGGGAAAGGAGCAAGGGCTAGAGAATGGAGCTGGAACTAAGCAGCTGCCCTGCTGGGAGTGGCAGAGCTCCTGGCTCAGCACAGCCAGGGGAGGGATGATCCCCAACACCTCAGCTGCTCCAACTCCCTACAGGGCAGCCGCTTGGTCCTGCTCCACTCTCTGGCCCTCACTCCCGGGCCCCTGTCCTTCCTAGGGCTGTGTGTTGCAGAGGTGCCAGGGCAGCATCAGGGGGGCAAGTGTGAGTCAGCCCCAAACTTCCCCACAGCCTCCTGGGGATCCCGTATCCCTACCCCCTGAGGTGTGGTGGGGGCAGGGATAAGGGATCCGGCCCGAGGGGTGCTGGCACACACTGCACCCGGAGCCCTGGGGATGCACTTTACCGCTCTGCAGCCAGCAGCAGCCAGGCTGGGGTGGGTGTGTGTTTTTTCACTGATACCTTCATTTTATGTCAAACTTCAGAACAGACAAAACTAACAAACCAACCAAACAAAAATACAGTCGCTGAACATCCCACTTTAAAAATTAAGAATTGCAAAGTTTCATTGTAATAGTTTGACAGCCCTGGAGACTGATGTGCTAATTATCCTCAGAACGGGTGCACATGGGCATTTTGCTGCCCATGTGACGCAGCCCAGCACTGGAGAGCCCAATTCTCAGATTAGATGGTAGTTCATATAAAGCCTTCTCAAACTGCCATCATTCTACCGAGACAGCCACCAAAGGAGCTAATTGTGCAGTTTATGTATTTGTGTTCCTTATGGGCACCTGCGTGCCATCAACAGCACCACCACAGTTAGGAAACAGGGTGGGCAATAGAGTTTTCCCACAGTGTAACACATTTGTAGGGCTAGGTCAGTGGCTCTCAACCTTTCCAAACTACTGCTCCCCTTTCAGGAGTCTGATTTGTCTTGGGTACCCCCAAGTTTCACCTCACTTAAAAACTACCTGCTTACACAATCAGACATAAAAATACAAAAGTGTCACAGGACACTGTTAATGAAAAATTGTTTACTTTCATTTTTATCATAGAATTATAAATCAATTGGAATATAAATATTGTACTTACATTTCAGTGTATAGTATATAGAGCAGTATAAACAAGTCATTGTCTGTATGAAATTTTAGTTTGTACTGACTTCGCTAGTGCTTTTTACGTAGCCTGTTGTAAAACGAGGCAAATATCTAGATGAGTTGATGTACCCCCGGAAGACCTCTGCGTACCCCTGGTTGAGAACCACTGGGCTAGAGTATCAACACTATGGTGGGGGGCACTAGGCACTCTGGAACAGGGTTACTTTGACTAGGGTCTGTGCACTGCAATGTGTACACCAGAACCCTAGGTTCGAACTCAGGTCAGAAAATCCTTAACATAGGGTTCCTTGACACAGGTCAGGTGACTCGAGTCTCACTAACCCTAGGCTTAAATTGCTGCGTACCCTTAGTGAATTAAGGCTCAAACCCAATGAAGTAGGGAATTATTATTCACATTTCATAAGGTTTGGTGAATTGCCCCAGGCCACACAGGAAACTGTGACGTAGCTGGGAATCAAACCCAGAATGCCTGACTGCCAATCTTGTATCTCACCTCAAGACTACTTTTTCCTGTCAAGAAATTTTGTTCGACAGGATTCGACCCTGCGGCCTCTTGTACACACAATGTAAGTCCTGATCCAGTAAAGCACTTAAGTGCAGGTACCTTTCAGCACCAGTAGTTTCACTGAAATCAATGGCTCTACCCATGTGTTAAAGTATGTGCATAAGTGCTTTGCTGGATCAGGGCCTATATTACTAAATTAATGACCCACAAGTTAAGAAGTACTGTTATACTACTGGCAGTTGTTAACCAACTTATTTTTAAAAATTCTAAACCAGACAATTTTCACAAGACAAAATATTATCTTTTAGGTTGTTCCTAGGAGCCAAAGAGTTCTCGTGACATAAAAGGGGTGTTTATACCAAATCTCAATGAAGCCATTTTTCTAAGATTTAGAAGCTATATTGAAAAGGTAGCTTTGAAATCCAACAGAAACTAGCCTTGTTTCATTTAATCTGCACTGATATTCTGTGCTACCTACTCACTAGAACTTTCAGAATCAAAAGGAGGGGGGAAAAAACCAAAAGCCTTAGGACCCAATTCTCCATTTGGGTACACTGATGTTATTCAAGAGTATCTCCAGTGAAGTCAACAGAACTGCACCAATGTAAAACAGATGTAAGTGAGAGGAGAATCAGGACCCGAGTAGCTGTCATTTCCCTAGGGCCTGATTTTTGGGGGTTCCCCAAAAACTACTTGCAAAGATGTGAGTGCGGTTCTTACTGTTCCCTTCTAAGTTATGGGGCTAGGTCCGATTACGTCCTCAAAGACAATCCTGAATTTGGGGAGGTGGTGGTCCTCCCCTCTGAAGAAACTGGAAGAAAGAACTGGCCTGCCTTCAAAGAAACCAGAGGTGAGTATTGTTGCTCTGAGAAGATAAGACCAGGATTGGGTGAGGGTCCTCCATAGTTTGGATACTTCAGATAAGCAACCAAATTTTTGGATGGTGGCCCAGATTGAATTCTGACCCTTTTGAGGTTGCCTATCACCAGATTAACTATTTTGAAGCTGATTTACCTGGTGCTTGTATAATTATTTTTCCAGTGGCGATTACAATCTTCTTGAACTCTAAGCTCCATTGGGCAGAGATCTTGCATTAGTACAGTGCCTAGAACACTGGGGCACTGATCCTGATTGATGTATCTGGGTGTTACAGTCAGGGCTGGCTCTAGGATTTTTGCCGCTCCAAGCAAAAACAATTTTGGCCGCCCCCCCCCGTTTTTTTCTTACCCCACCCCC